GGTGTGTGTGTGTGTGTGTGTGTGTGTGTGTGTGTGTGTGTGTGTGTGTGTGTCTGTGTGTCTGTGTGTCTGTGTGCCTCTGTGTGCGTCTGTGTGCGTCTGTGTATCTGTGTGTGTGCGCGCGTAATGAGATATCCACCCTGCCCACACCTGTAGCACTGACCACGCCCGTCTGTGTGTGTCTGTGTGTGTGCGCGTAATGAGATATCCACCCTGCCCACACCTGTAGCACTGACCACGCCCATTTGGGTGTGGTCACAGGTGCAGACGTGACAAAGAGCAGGACTACATCTGGGTTTTCAGACCCCAGCACTCTCTCTGGCTTCTGGTCGGGTCACAGAGAACAGCCTGGGTGGATCCTTGCTGCTGGAACCTGTGCCGGTCACCGCCCCCGAATAAATTTCACTTAACCTGTACTGAGTCTAGTGAATCTTGATCCCCACGAAATATCTGGCGTCTGTGGGAAAATTCACTGGATCCACAGTGGCCACACACGTGTGGAGAGTAAGTTACTTTCCCGGTGTTGCATATTTGCGCTCTGGCGCTGATAACTGCCCCTGCTGCAGCTTAGCAGTACCCACCGTGAGCACCAGCACCCCCACTCCCATCCTCTTGCCAGCACACTCTGTCCCTAATAACCGCCAGCGATTTAGCTGTGTCCATGCGCTGCCCCCACGGCACGCCTGTCCCCCTACGCTCCGGGAGCTGGTGCAGCAGTCCGCACCGCACACACGGATTCAATTTTGATTTGATCGCTCTGTCGTTGTGTTTTGCCACGCTCCTACGCGCGTGTCCACCAGTGACACTACCGTGGTGATCGCTCAGTTTCCCACACTTGCCAGCTCTGCGGTTCCTTACGATTTGCGCGGGGCTTGTTTTCATCCTCTTAACAAAATCTCACTTGTTTAGAATTTGTTGGGAGTTGCTAAGAATTCACAGATTCCACTTTGGGACCATCCCGGTGCCGAACCCTATCTGGCAGTACACCTGCGTCTCCTGCTGGCTAAACATAGATACTACAAGTTGAGATCTACAAGTAAAATGGAACACCGAAGTTCTGGGACAAGGATATTTCTGAAGGTAATTGCTGAATTCTTTGTATTTTAAGCTATTAATAATAAACAAGAGTAACTACTCTATACCTATGGTGGATAATCTTACAATGCAGGACGTTAGGAATCTTTTTGTTTCTTATATGGATGAGATATGTTTTCTATCTGCTGTAGTGGCTATCACTTTGGTAATCCATATAATTCATTAAATAAATGGTTTGATAATAGGGCAAAAAATGAAGAACTTATAAAAATCATACATTCATTACAGAATGGCAATGAAAATTTAGTAAAAAGGATTTAGACAAGAAGATACCTTACAGACTGCTAATGAGAACTTAGTAAAAAGGATTCATACAATAGAAGATACTTCACAGACTGGTAATGAGAAGCTTAGTAAAAAGGATTCAGACTATCAAAAACAGTAGTGATGATTTGACAAACAGAACACGAAAAATGGAATATAGTAACAAATTAATAAAAAAATGTGTTCCATGTCTGAGACTAATGACAAGCTAGCAGATAGAATGTTGTTCCTGGAAGGCAGTTTACATGCCATTCAGATAATATCTAAGGATGAGAATATTAAATGTTTAGAATTATATATAAATGAAGAGAACAGGAAACTGACTGATTCAATGAAATCTTTAGAAATTTACATGGTCCAGGAAGTTCAAACACCCAGAGAAACAATGATGAATAGATTATAGTCTTTAGAAGACCTTCAATCCAATACAACAGAAGCAGAGATACAAATAATAAGGCATGAAAAAGATTTAATATTACCTGCACCTTTCAGAGTCAGGGAAGATCTACCTAAAGTCATTATTATCATCTCCTATGGCTTTGCCCATAGCTGTTACTGAAAAACCAGCAACAACAACAACAACAACAACAACAACAACAAAAGGTTTTGTTGATTGTCATTGGGAAGCAATAAGCATGAGAGATTTAAATGGTATAAAGGAAACAGTTGTCTCTTATGGCATGCACTCACCATATGGGGGGCAATTAGTAGAGTCATGGGCAAAGAGTAATAGGGTGACCACCAAGGATTGGAGCCAATTAATATCAGCTGCCTTGAAAATTCATCTCAAATTGAATGGAGGGCTTTATGGAGGGAAGAGCTAAAGCTCTTGAACTTCAAGGCTTAAAGAAAGGTTATAAAGCCCCCCAAGATAAAATTCTTGGTACGGGTCTTTATACTGATCCAGAAACTCAAGCTGTGTATGATGAACACATCTTGTCTCTATGCCATACAGCAGCTTTGAATGCTTGTGGTAAGGTTCATGAATCAGGGGAGAGAATTGGACACTATACCAAGGTGTTGCAGGAACAGAGGGAACGTTATACTGCATTTTTGCAAAGATTGTTTAGAGCAGTACAAATAGGGGTAGCAGATCCAGAAGCTGGGTGAATACTCATAGAATCTTTAGCTTATGAGAATGTGAATCCACAATGCAAAAAGGTGATTTGGCCCTTAAAGACCAGATCAGCACCATTGGATGAATGGATCCTGCACACAACCAACATTGAGTATAACGGTTATGACACTGAAACTTAAGTAGGAGACGTGGTCTCCAGAGGTTGGAAAAGACTAGATGGTACTTGTGGTAGAATAGGACATCTAAGAACAAGTTGTAGACAAGGCATTCCTAGGAATGCATCAAACAGAAGGCCTCAACCTTCTGGATTATGTAGAGGATTTGGCAAAGGCCAACACTGGACCAATAAATGTAGATTGACCAGGGACAAGCAAGGAAACCCTTTACGATCAGGAAACTCCTTGGGGGGACTCTCGAAGGCCCCCACATCAAAAGTGATTCAGTCATTCCCAGTCACTCTGGAGGACAATACTCCTCAGGATGATCAAAAAATTCAATGACTATCGTAAAAAAATCATACCACTCTAGATGGTAGATTAGCTACAGAGGATGAATCAAACATACCTGGATGAATAAAAAAAAACTGTATATTTTGGCAAACTTCTATAAATGATCAATGACCTAAATTAAGAGTTCAAATAAACCTTGGTACCCAAGCCACACAAAGATACAACTAAGAAGGAGAACTACAGAACATGAACATTGATGCAAAAATGCTCAACAAAATACTGGCAAGTCAAATCCAAGAACACATCAGAAAAATAATTCACAATGATCAAGTAGGCTTCATCCCAGGGATACAGGGATGGTTCAACATACAAAAAATATCATGTAATACATCATGTAACAAAACTTCAAAAGAAAAATGACATGTTTATCTCACTAGATACTGAAAAAGCCTTTGACAGAATCTAACATCCCTTCATGATAAAGGTCTTGGAGAGATCAGGGATAACAGGAACTTATCTAAACATGATAAAAGCAATATACTGTAAACTAACAGCCAACATCAAACTAAATGGAGAGAAACTCAAAGCCATTCCTCTAAAATCAGGAACAAGACAAGGTTGCCCACTCTCTCCATATCTGTTCTATATTGTACTTGAAGTTCTTGCTGGAGCAATAAGACAACAAAAAGAAATCAAGGGAATACATATTGGAAAGGAAGAAGTCAAACTTTTACTATTTGCAGATGATATAATAGTTTATATAAGTGACCCAAAAACTCTGCCAGGGAACTCCTAAAGCTGATAAACACCTTCAGCAAAGTGGCAGGATACAATATTAACTTAAAAAAATCACTAGCCCTACTATACATAGACAAGAAATGGATGGAGAAAGAAATCAGAGAACCATCACCCTTTATAATAGCCACAAACAACATAAAATATCTTGTGGTAACACTAACTAAACAAGTGAAAGAACTTTGAGTCTTTAAAGAAAGACATTAAAAAAGATACCAGAAAATGGAAAGATCTCCCGTGCTGTTGGATGGGTAGGATCAACATAGTAAAAATGGCAATCTTGTCAAAAGTAATCTACAGATTCAATACAATCCCCATCAAAATACCAGCACAGTTCACAGAACTTGAAAAAACAATACTCAACTTTATATGGAAAAACAAAAGACCCAGGAAAGCCAAAAGAACCCTGTTCGATAGAGGAAACTTAGGGGGCATCACCATCTGTGACTTTAAGCTCTATTACAGAGTTATAGTCCTGAAAACAGCTTGGTATTGGCACAAAAATAGACAAGTAAACCAATGGAATAGAATTGAAAACCCTGATATTATGAATACCTGATCTTTGACAAAGAAGCTAAAACTATACAATGGAAAAAAGAAAGATTCTTTAACAAATGGTGCTGGCACAACTGGATTCTGGCATGCAGAAGACTGCAGATAGATCCATATCTATTGCCAGATGTATCAAAGACCTCAACATAAATCCAGCCACACTGAACCTCTTAAAAGAGAAAGTGGGAAGTACCCTTGAATGGATTGGTACAAGAGATTGCTTCCTGAACATAACACCAGTAGCATAGACACTGAGATCGACAATTAACAAATGGGACCTCCTGAAACTGAGAAGCTTCTGTAAGGCAAAGGACACAATCAACAATATAAACTGGCAGCCCACAGAATGGGAAAAGATATTCACCAGCCCCACATCTGACAGAGGGCTGATTTCCAAAATATACAAACAACTCAAGAAGCTAGTCACCAAAACACCAAATAATCCAATTAAAAAGTGGGGTACAGAACTAAATAGAGAATTCTAAATAGAGGAATCTAAAAATGGCTGATAGATTCAACATCATATATATATGATTTTTCCCTTTTTTATTTATATTCTTTCCCATTTTTTAATTTATATTAAAAACATGATTGTTTTACATGTCAATCCCAGTTCCCTCTCTGTCCCCTCCTCCCCTGTCCCCCTGACACCCTACCTATCCCATACCTTTTCTGCTCCCCAGGGAGAGTGAGGCCTTCCATGGAGGATCTTCAGAGTCTATCATATCGTTTGGGATAGGGCCTAGGCCCTCCCCCATGTGTCTAGGCTGAGAGAGTAACCCTCTATGTGGAATGGGCTCCGAAAGTCCATTCCTATGCTAGGGATAAGTATTGATCTACTACCAGAGGCTCCATAGATTTCCAAGGCTTCCTCCCTGATAACCACATACATGGAGTCTAGATCAGTCCTATGCTGGTTTCCCAGCTATCAGTCTGGAGTTCATGAACTACCCCTTGTTCAGGTCATCTGTTTCTGTGGGTTTCACCAGCCTGGTCTTGACCCCCTTGCTCATCACTTCTCCCTCTCTACAACTGGATTTCAGTTCGGTTCAGTGTTTAGTTGTGAATGAGTTGAAGATAAAAACAATTCCTTTTCTTTTTGGTAAACCCATTTATTTTAATATGGTCATTAAATAATATTTTCATATGCTATTGTAAATTTTAAATGAAATATGTTGCTCTCCTCTATTCTTCCCCCAACTCAATCTTCCTGCTGTCTCTTGTCCACATCAGACAGAGGGCTGATTCATAAAATATGCACAGAACTCAAGAAAATAGTCACCAAAACACCAAGTAATCCAATTAAAAAATAGGGTACAGAACTAAATAGAGAATTCTCAATAGAGGAATCTAAAAATGGCTGAAAGATACTCAACATCCTTAGCCATCAGGGAAATGCAAATCAAACCAACTCTGAGATACTATCTTACTTCTTTCAGAATGGCTAAAATCAAAAACACCAATGACAAGTTATGCTGGAGAGGATTAGAGAAAGGGGAACATTTCTCCACTGCTGGTAGGAGTGCCCACTTGTACAGCCACTTTGGAAATCAGTATGGTGGTTCCTCAGGAAAATGGGAATCAGTCTACAACAAGTTCCAGCATTTCCACTCTTAGGCATATACCCAAAAGATGCACATCAATACAAC